TGCTGCTCATATTTCCCTTTATATCTAAGCACGTAAAGGTAAAAAAACCCTAATGAATTAGTTCACCACAAATGAAAGTGTTAAACATTAATGTAGGAGGCTTGGATTGGAGTCCTTTCTAAATGTTAGCAAGGAACATCTGACTGTCTAAAATGCCTGTCCAAGCTGCTAATAGGAATGTTGATCATGCCATACGAAAGGCAGTCTGGCATTTGATACAGCTTTGCATTTTTAAAGCAGCTTTATATGTACATTGAATCTTCCAGAGCCACATTCACCTTTGCAAGTCCTCGTGAACTTCAACATGTAGATTGCAAGGGTAACTTTAAAAAAAAAATTCTTTGTTGGGGAAAAAGTGTTCTAATAGCCCAGTCGAATTTGTCAAAGTGCCAGTGATATTTTTATCTTGCTTTACTTGTAAAACAATCCTATATAAAGGGGAAGGGATCATCTTCAGGTTATGGCCCTGGATTGGGGTTCAGTTCCCAGCTCCTCCACAGATTTCATGTGTGACCTTGAGCAAGTTGGTTAATCTCTCTGCCTCATCTGTAAAACTGGGATAATATTGATTCCTTCCCCCCGCACCACCTCTCTGTCTTGTTGATTAATACTGTAGATTGTTCAGGACAGGGCACTGTCTTTCACTGTATAGGTAAAGCAGCAAGCACACCAGGGCCCTGAGCTCTGTTGGGGCCTCTAGGTGTTACTATTAATGAATAAACACAGCCCCTTGCACTAGAGATAAAATTAAGGGGTGAATATGTTGGTAGAATGTAAAAAATGAAATCACTGGTACAGTAATTCTGCTTGGTTTATTGATGTCCAAGTATGTAGAACACACACAAGTACTCAACAGTCTTACAGTTTTTGATCAATTTGTCATTCTGCAGGTTTAATTAAAATGGTTCTAAATCAGCCAGCTCTGAAGTTACAACAGTCTCTTGTTGTACCTTGCTGGCTGTGTGTATTCTTAATATGTTCATTAAACTGCCTGTAGCTGTAAGTGTTTTTCCAATGAATACTTAGGCAGACTAAATCCTCCTCTTATCCTTCATGGAGGTCTTCCAAGGGGTGTTAAGATGTCAGATTTTGGCCCTGGATTGTGGAAAGTTTTGTGCACCACTGATCTGGTCTGTATCTACTGTGACTACGTAAACACAGTGCTTTCCTTTCCTGTAAATTTCCACTATTGTGAGCACTAAATCACACTCAAGTGAACAGAGATCGCTGTACCTACACTAGATTCCTTCTTATTGCTTACAGTTTTGACTGGAGGATATTAGAACTCATGCAGCTTAAGGAAGTGATAGCAACAGAAATGGGAGCCCTCTCCTTTCCAGCAATTTCACTGCTCTACAGCCAAAATGCTTCTGAAATAAATGTAGACAAACTTTACTAATTCTGGGTCACTGAGAACGAAAATGATGCTTAAAATTGTTGATTGGCTCTAGTTTTCAAGATATACTATTGGGTCAGTATATACGACCCTTGACTTGGGAATGGCGGAGGATAAGTGAGTTATAAAGGGAAGGGATCTCAATTTAAACCAGAAATGACTAAAATACATCTTTGATTGGATCTATGAATAAATCTATGACTGGGTTTGGACAGTATTTGCTTTTTAGGCAAAACAATAAATGATGCAATCTGAAACTGGTATTGCGTCATACATGATATGAATTGCATCATGTTATTCCTAGAAGTCATGGATGATGCAATCATAACGAAGCTTACATCACTCTGCTGAACAAATTCCCCTATATCAGCTCTAGAAATCCTCCAGTGTCGTGCTCTCTTATTTGTCAGTGTTTGATTTTGCAAAGGGACACATTTCTGTTTTGCCAAAGTGAGCAGAGATGCCTCGTACTTGTGTGAACAGTGCAGATAACTTCTGCTATGTTTGTGGTGAAGTGACTTTTGCATCACAAAAGCACAGTA